CTTTGTCAGACTCCAAAGCATGCCTCGCAGGGAAAATTCATCTTAGATCTCATCCCAGCGTTTCTCCGAAGTGCAAATTCTGCATTTCTGGGATCTTTCAGCGTCAGCACTGTGGGACTTACGGTTTATGTACAGATACATACATATTTCGCCCACGGCTCCCCTGACTCTTTTTGGCCTCATGCTCCCATAACCAACAGTTACGTGCTCCCTCCTTTCCCACCCATTGCCCCATCATAGCAAGCAAAGGTGCCCACTGCAATCAGATTCTTTCTGCAGCTCCACAAGGGTATAAATCAGATACCCCTCGGACAAGCAGTTCAGAGAGGCATAACCCTACGCGAAGAAACACTGCTGGCTGCACTCCTGTGCAGTGAAAAATGTCTCAAGATCTATTTAGGCTGTTCCCTCAGAAATTCATCCCACTATGAAAAGAAATAACAATTTGTGCTGTGCCGGTAGCAGAATACAAACTGTACCTTTTGTCTGCTTCGTCTACCATCCCAGCCTGTAATATCATCAACTTTTTCAGCTCCAGGTTCAACACTACCCGAAGGAAGACTAGCCAATGTGGTCAATTCATTTCCCGCTCATTCCCAGTTTAAAGGGCTTCTGCAGCTCTCCCTCGACACCATCCACATCTCTGAACCACCAATCCTCCTCCTCCCACCCCCCAAACGCTGAAGACATTACTGGACGATGTATTTTCCCCTTGGAAAACATTGCCAGTGCTTCTGGGTGGGCAAGTGACAACTACCTGGCAATAATTACAAAATAGAAAGCTGCTGGCAGAGTATTACCAGTAAAAATGTTTTTCATAAACAATAATGAAATAAAGATGGGTTTCACCTGCTGGACACAACCTATACTGTCATTTAGAGAAATTCTGTAGGTGATTGAGAAAATGATGGTCAGTTAAAGAAAGTGCAAAAAAATTGGACATCAGTTACCCGATGAGATGAAGGAGAAAACATTGTGTTCCCATCAGACTAACAGGTTCCTCTCTCCCATCTGCCGCAGGGAGCATCTACCGTCCTTTCTCACTCCCACCTTCCGCCCCGAGTTGGCAGGCAGAGCTGCCAATCTCAGGCAAATGGTGTTATTTAAGGTTAGGCTTAATGCTTTAATGGTTATTTAAGATTCCGGTGTATGATACACAGGACCTGGGGAGCTTTTCTGAACTCAATGAACCCACTCACTCCTGAGTGTTAATACACATCCCGGGTTTACAAGCCCAGGTGCTGGCAGCAGGGGGCTGCAGGGTGGCCTCCAAGAGGAGAGGTCAAGAAGGTGGTGCTTCAGGAAAAGTGCATTTAAGAGGGCAGCGGCAAGGAAAAAGTGAGAAACAACTGCGTAACGATCCAGGTCAGAGAAGGAGGTGGATGAGGTGCTCCATGTGCTGCAGGTGGCTCTTCTGCAGCCTGTGGAGATCATGGAGAAGCTGGTTGCTCCCCTGCAGCCTGTCGAGGACCACACCAGAGCAGGTATCTACACTACAGCGCATGAAGGAGCCCATGCAGGAGCATGTGCCCTGAAGGAAGATGCGGCCCTTGGAGACCCTGCACTGGAGTAGGCTTGTGGCAGAAACTGTAGCCCGTGGGGAACCCATGTTGGAGCAGATTTATTCTGAAGGACAGCAGCCCATGGAGAAGACCCACAATGGAACAGGAAGAAGAGTGAGGAGGAAGGAGCAGCGGTGAGGAACTGTTATGGACAGACCCGACACCACCACCCCACCCCCCCCAATCCCCCTGCACTGCTTGGAGCAGCGGGGGGGGTCAGGAATGAAGGAGTGAAGTTGAGCCTGGAGAATGAGGTGGAGGGAAAAGGTGGTTTAGTTTTTGTCTTTGATCCTCACCCTGCAACTCTATTTTTAATTGGCAAGAAATTATTTTTCCCCGAAGTCAAGTTGGTTTTGGCTGTGATGGTAATCGATAAACCATCTCCCTGTCTTTATCTCAACCCACAAGCTTGTCCATCTTACTCTCTCCCCTCCTCCTGTTGAAGGGGAGTAAGAGTGGCTGGGCGGGCGTCCGGCAGCCAGCCAAGGTCAACCCACCACAAGAAAACACATCCAAGGAAGAAAATCCCCCAAACACTTCTGAATGTGAAAAGTAAATGAGGATTTCAAATTGTGGGGAAAATATGTCTTTCCAATGACAAACCAAGAGAAAATTTGGAAAATAGGCTATTACTCATGACTAAAGTTATAAACTGTCCTCTGTTCAAGTACACCTCAGAAGCCAAAAAAAAAATGTATTATTTCATACTTCTAAGCTCAGTTACTAATCCCACCAAATGCCTCGTCCAAAGACTGAAGCCATCTTTTCAAATTACTCCCTACACTTCCCATTACCCATCCCATCACCCTGCATAAAGCAGTATCAATGATGTTCCTACCATAAAAATGCCCCACTCCACCCCAATTTCACATGGCACCAGCCAAGTCAAGTCTATGATACATACTTATCACAAATTTCAGGTCTATTCAGATAAATCCCGCATGTAGACAAGTATTTATTTATGCAGTTATGCAGTGATTTGATTTTCTAATGTGTCTTGCTTTCTTCCTGTTCATTATCTTGTCTTTGATCTCCTGCATCTCTCACATTACCCTAGCAGGTCAGGTTGCCAAAGTGAAAATTCCTCAGCGCAAGACAGTTAAGATCCTCCTTCTCACCCCTCTGAACAACCTTTCCTTTGTTTTATTTTCCAGGCATCAATTTGCTATTATAAAAGCCTCTTTGAATACAGTACACCAACTACTAAATCGAAGACGTTATTTATATGAAAGGCAAAAAAAAAAAAAAAAAATTAAAGCAGTTTTCCTTTGTAATCTCATAGCCCACATATTAGATGAGATGTAACACTTCATAGGCTAGGGGAAAAATCATGGTTTAATTACAACAATGTAGCATAAACACTTTAGTAGTCGATACCAGGATATTATTGTGACGTCTAAACTAAACTTGAGTTCTCCACAGATACCGTAAACAGACACTCTAAATTCCCTAAATGATTGGCATTAAGAAGGTTTATACAAAGGCGGTCAGTTGTTTAATCTTTAAGATGTCATGACATGGTGAGACAAACACACATACATCAGTAAGTACAGAGAAATTTTATGCTACATTTTGGACAGTTCAGAACTGAAAGTGCTTCACATCTATAGGATAAGAAATGGCTTCATCTCCTCATCCCTAAATGATGAGAGCAAAGAAATAACCCTTTAATAGGTTAAATAAACAGTGCCCCATTTATCCATGCTTATATAAAGTTTCCAACGATTCAGAAAGTCCACGGTGAAATTTACAATCTATATACAGTATAACAAATTGTCAAAGAAAAAAGTTCAGATATTCCTTGGTTCCCAAAAGCTTGAAGCTCGCTCTCTGCAATAGAGACAAAAGCTACCTATTTTTTTTTAAAAAAATTCATCATCCCAATCCACCTTGAATAAAATCAGTCCCTAAGTCCTGGTCATATTTAACAACTGCTTAATCCCAGTGTTTAAGGCATGTTCATCAGATGTCAGTATAGGGGTACTGTCAGAAATGATAATAATCACAGGTACTAAGAGTCAGCAGATTTACAAAGCAACGTCACTCTTTACAATATAATGTAAAGCAAATTGTTATGATGGAAGTTGTTCCTGAGTTAAAATTTGCTAAATACTGCTAAGATTCATGTTTTCCTTTTACACTTCTTCTTCTGGAATGCCCTTTCACATATGCTCAATTGAAAATTAAAATTCACTCTTAAAATAGCCTGTCAGAAAGTTAAAATGTTAGCACAATTCTAATTATGTTGGCATTCCCAAATCTAAATTTAGCCAAGATGTTAGGAATTTGCAGGGTATAGTATCACTTAGGCTTTTAGCAAGAGTATTTTCTAAATATGAAGATAATTATAAATGTCAGTCCACATTTTTGTGCAACTGCAAACAGCAGGAAAAGATTTTGGTCTCAAAAATTATTATAAATTTAAAGTTCTGTGAATACACGCAACTCTGATATTGTAGGCTTTTTTTAGTTTTCTTATCCAGTCTGCTCCTTTACAATTAAAGGAAGACATTTCTAAATTGCAGGAACGCAAATTAAAATACCTACAAATATATTCAGCTTTTTAAATCGGACAACTAATTGTCTATTCAGATTCTTAAGTATCCATTCCCACAGAATTGTTCCTCAAGTATGTAATCACTGACATTCTTTCCTATTTAAAAAAAGCTGTTCTTGGCTGAGAAAAGTGGATAGCTTTAAAAATAGATTTTTTTATTAGATTCAAAATGTGCATGACAATTCCTACTACCCTAATCATCTTGGCTCCAACTCATTAAAGTTCACATAAACATTTGCTCGAGTCTGAGCATTAAATCTAACAGGAGTTAATGGGCAACAGAAAATCAGGATGACAGAAGGCGCGACTCGGGTCTGTGCTATACCTGCAACTGAAGAAAAACCCCTCAGAAAATTGCACTGTCTGGAGTTTGATCCAAATTTTGCTGAAATGAGTGAAACACTTACAATGAGCTTTAACGGGATTAGTATTTTAAGTGCTCCAACTGAAGCTCACCATTTGCAGTGATGTAGCATTTCCTATTTCAAATACAAGAAAGGATTGCAGTAATTGCACCTATCAGACTAGGGAATAAGTGTTCATTTATGTATTTTCAAAATTTGTCAGCAGTGCAAATTATGAATTACAGTATGATTTAAGAAAAATAATCTTATTTCCAGATCTGTTTCCATTTAAAATCCTAGTAGGACAGAAACCAGCAACGCACTGAGAAAACAGGGTGGGAAAGGAATGACTCCGCTTCCACAGTCTGGGAATTCCAAACGGAGTCTGACATAGTGGTATACAAAGCAAACTCTGAATGAAGTTTGGCCTAGCCCATGTGTCTTAAGCACAAAGGTTAGCTAAAATGTAATTGTTGTGACCATAAAATATAAATAGCAACAATTTATTCACAAAATTCTGGATTAGATTGATTTTTTTTTTTTTTTTGCTTTAACAAACTGTATGATCTATTAAATTATCAGCCAGCTGTATGTTTAAGCACGACAATAGAAAATGTAGTACATAAACACCTAAAAATCACAGTCATAAAAAGCAGGCAAGTACATCAGTCTTTTGGTGGCCAAAGCACAACAGATTAGTCTGCCAAACAAGTGTAAGTGAACGTAAGTCATGGGCATTCGCTGTGTTAAAAATCATTTCTACTGTCAATAAACAATTTCCTGTATTTTAATACTGTTCTTAAAGAATTGTAAACTGTTTAAAAATGTATGCACAGACATAAATAACAGCAAAGGATTTAAATACAGTGGTCGATAGGAAAAACAGGTTGTTAAATTTGCATGTGTGATGAGTGAGTGGGTAATTTGGAACAAATCCATCATTATCCACAAAGAACTCTGACCTTTCTTAGGTAAGACAGTACTGCCCTCATTTCTAACACTTGTGACCATTATAATAACAAGAGAAAAAAAAAATAACATATCGGCCCTGATACATCAATCACATATGCATTCAAAATTACAGATATTTACAAGAAAAATATATATTTAATTAAAAAGCCACTGAAAAAACATGGACTTTTAGTCAGGTGCTGCGCTTCCTGCAAAATGAGGTAATTTAGATGCAAACAAATTAAGTTTAGTACAGTTCAGGATCCACGGTCTCCACGCTTAAAGTACAGATTGCTTCAGTAAATGGCTTGACTGTTTCTACATGTTCAGAGCAAGAAATCACTAGATCCAGTTAAATCCTGTTTTGTAGTGCTCTTGATGCAACACTGACTAATGTCAGAAGGCTTCCCAGCTCAGTTTTACAACTGGTCTTTCAATAGAAAGAAAAAGGGAAAAACAAAGAAAAAAAAAAAGGTAGTTATAAGTTGGTTTCATCCCAGGATGGATCATTCATGTTCTTTAGAACTTTTCTAACAAGCTTCTCCAAGTCCTTCCGAGCTCTTTGTTCTTCTTCTAATGATTTCTTCATCTTTTTGTTATCCTGTTTAATAGAGACAGAAATATTACTGGTTTGGGTTTTTTGTTGTTTATTTGTTTGTTTGGGTTTTTTGTTGTTTTGGTTTGTTTAACAGGTCTTTTCTGATCACACATACATTGTCAATTACAAATTCTGAAGGCTCTTTTCAGTAGGACTGCTGTTAGCTGTTTGAAAGCAAAGCCTTCTATTAAAATTTCACAAGTTAGCCCACGGTAACTTCACACAACGCAACAAAACCCACCAAATGGAAACTGAGCTATTTCCTGTTTATACTTAGGGGTCCTTTATAATGCAAGTGCTAGTAACAGATGGCCAATCTTGAATTCTTCTGCTCAAATCTGATCAATGAAAAGTAGAATATATTAATTATTAATGGAGAAGGGAAATAGAGCAAAAAGTAGAATAAATCCCCCTCTAAGAGCCTTCCTCAGAAAAGCTTCTTAAAACCTAATGCAAATTAACTTGCTTCATTAAGAAAGTAAATAGTTGAAAGGAGTATCTCGAAAACGATTATGCTCTCTGGAAAGTGACTAAATTTTAAACCAGACAGATGACTACCAACAGTCTAAGAGGAGTCTCAGTTTCAAGGAACACCACCACTCTGCATGTATATTATTGAGTCAGTCAGTTCTCAGTATTTAGAGCCATCAGGTAATACTGAAATACCATGGACAACAGGACTGTAAGGATGTCACTGACCAAACCACAGTAATTGGTGGTTAATTACATTGGTTAATCCTGTACAGGCCAAGGTGATGCTGACAACAGAGGGGAAGCAACCAGAAGATAAGACAATATCACATTAAGGCCCCAAGACAACGAGTTTATGGGTGTTTAACAAAACACAGGTCTGCAACCCAGGGGTCCCACCGGACTCCCATCAGCTGTCATTTACAGACATTTCTAGAAACAGGATGGGATCAAGAGCTGCTGCCTCCTTAACTCTATTCCCTCCCCAAGTCTGTTGAGAAATTCAGAAATTTCATTCTTTTCTTGTAGGTACAGGCTTAATTTATCTTCCTTTTCATTTATTTATTTTTTTACTGCCAATTCAGGACTGTACTATTCAAGTGTAGTACCTGTGGAGCAAGAGCTATGAATAACCTACAGAAGCTGCGATGGGAGGGCTCCCACTTTGCGTGGTAACTCTCACCAAGAGGCAGTCCGGTGTCTACATCAGCCACTGCACTGTGTACTCCCAGAAAGCCTTCACCCATGAAGCAATCGTTTGGTCACTTGGGACCTTCCAAGAGATTATTTCTGCCACTTCTCCAGTTGGCAACATCACAGCAGCAGACCAATAAATGTTTCTAAGCTGATATTCCTGATATACAAGAAAATAAACTCAAGTTTTAATAGGTTCTGGCCTTGGAAGATGCGAGATTCTGAAAATACCATCTAATTTGGAAAGGCATCAGAAAAGAGAGCTGTTGCTTGAAGCTCAGGAGAAGGTGACTTTTTGTTTAGGGTCACAGAGAGACCTGCAGGGCCACAGTGAGGCAGCATGCTTATCCTTTGCACAAAAGCAGCCAGGCCATAGGAACATCAGTGGGTTATTACTGCTGCTTGTATTAAGTGAATTGTATTTTTAAAAAGACTGTCAAATTTGCATCAAATCTGGGATACACATGCTTTATATGTTGAAAACAGCTAAAATTAAGTATTTAAGATGCCAACTGTCCTATTTCAAGGAAGATGCACCACATCCTTAGAAATACTGAGCATGCTTACAGATGAACAGACAATTTGAATTCATGTTCGTAGCCCAAAACCCACAGTAATTTGAATACAAATCTATTTTACATTAACGCAAAAGATTTTATCTGACTTCCTGAGTCATAAATCTGTTAAGGTCAGTTAGTAAATTCAAACATTGGAAAGTGAGGATAACTCAATGCTTTTTCGCCTACGCATTAAGCAACGGACTATATGCAGCAACATTAACATGCCGTGTCCTGACAAGAAAAAAGAAAGATATTTTTAAACAACTCATTTCGGATACTTAAGCTTAAGAACATCAACTGCAACTTCCATACTAGCAGCTTGGATGAGATCTTTCACAATTCCCTCATGTGACAAAGCAGCACCCTAAGCTAACCTGAAGCCATCATTTAAAAAAGGCCACACGATAGACACTGAAAAAGACTTTCATCTCCCAGAAATGAGAGGTTTCAAGCACTGATTCATAAGAGGTGTTCAGGTTACTGAAAGACTGTTAATAAAGGCCTAAAAGGACCCAGACATTCATACTACTTAAATTATCCATTCCAAGAGCAAATACTATTTCACAGTCTCTGTAAGCCTATTTTGCTGGTGATACAGCAGAACTGAATGTATTTAACGCTTTCAACATTTCACAAATTGTAATATCCAAATATAAATGAAACACAGCTTAGTAAGTCACCTCAGAGACAGGATACTTAACGCTCCAAGGACACATGATGAGCACAAAAGAGGGTGCTTTTTGTCAAAGGGGTATGTTTTAAAAGTGTTTTTACTTTTAAATTTAGTGCAAAATTCAAGTTAATTCCTGTCAAAGGGCATCAAATTATAGGCCATATTGATTTTTATAATAAGCCTTCCATCCTTCTATTCTCCATGTTGCTATAAATGTAGTAAGTTACTAACCTGTCTTAACTCCTGTACTTCATCCTTTAATGCATATACTGTGTCAACAAGGCTTCTAAAATGAAAAAAGAAGATGATCAGTTACAACAGTTTTCAGAAATACATGTCTAAATCTATTATTAGACAGAACTGTTACGTGAAATGCATTTAAAAAACCAAAAGCCACAGCTAATTTCAAACTTGTGTTAAAAAAAATAATTGTCTCTTATCCTGATTTACATTCAGTAAGACAAGGACTTGTTACCGGCTTCTGTGAAAGGATACACCTCTCAAGCACACATGGACCTATACTGGTTTCTATATTACAACTTTCTGTAACAGAACGGTATTTCATTTCCAATAAACACCTTACCAAAAACAGAATGATGCCACGCACTAACTACAAAGATGACACCAATATGGAAATCCTACTGCACTTGGAAAAACTATTTACAAAGGAAACCTATCACTTCTTGGCAGGGAAAGAATAAGTTGCATAAGAGCATATACAAAAGAAACCAGACTACAAGCATATAAACGAATGCCAACTGCACTTAAAGGACTGGCAGCATACTCCAAACAGCTCTGTTCCCTACTACAAATATACCATACACACATTACTCTAATGAGAGACAGGAGGAGGAAGAAGAGTGCAAAGTTTACTGTTTTAATCCATCATTCATTAAATGTTCTCTTACTTCTCTTCTATAACAGTCTGACCATTACTTTTAGTTTCTTCTACAATAATTTTTTCTTCTTCTGGAAGCAGGACTTGAGGAGCTGATTCTTTACGGGAACCTATTACAAAAACAAATTACAAAATGAGCAACTCACAAATATTGCTGGGGCATTTTAAAGATTATTATTTCATTCGCTGCATGATACACCTGGATGACCAAGGTATATCACTTTCCAATTCCCCCTTCCCTCCACACACACAAGTTACTGATGCATTGTTTACATTTGAAACCACAGCCTTACAACAAAAAAAATTGTCTGACATTCCTATCTTGCTGCTGACAGAACTCCTGTGTCATCAATGGTGACGCTACACCGTCCAACAAATGGTGCACCGTTCAACTATACAAATATTTTTGTATAGCGTAAAAACTATACAAATTCACCATAGCTGACTCAGAAAAAGATAGATGTGTTTGAGTAACAGCAATTTAAGCCTCAAGGACAGATTCTGATCTCACACTGATACAAATCCAAGAAATAATTCCACTCTAAACCAATGAATTTATCAGTAAGATGCCGAATAGTGGTATCAAATGATACAGCGATGGAAGCAAAAAAGTTAAACCCCCTTTCCCCTGGAACACTATAAACAACACATCTGTGTGTGTGTGCACACATATACATACACTTACAGACAGCCTTTAAGTCCTACAGTAAATTCCTACCAAATGAAATGCATACTTTCTATTTAATGTTTTTAAAAGCACTTAATGGTTTGGCAATAAAAACTCAAAACATTCCAACATCTTCCAAACATTTTCTACAATCATTACAGTTTATAACATCATGATAATACACAGATTCTAAATAAAGTAGCTCTGAATAGAAAAATCTACAGCTTAGAGATGTGCATCCATTCATACATAAAGTATGCATTCTAGAAATGTTATTTAATTAGGCTGCAACAATTTACAAACATTTTTTAAAAGAAGGTCTGTAAATAAGTAGCTGTCGAAGCATTTTTTCAGAATTCAAACACAGCTGATAAGGCATTAAAGTTCTTGCATATTTTGACCAAGATATCAATTTTAACAAACAAGGTACACTCGCCTACCAATTCATTGTAATGAAATTTCATTAACCAGGA